GTAACTAACTTACCTGCTTGGCGCACCTGAATGTAATTTATGTGTGTTTGCACAACTAGCTGCAGTGGGGGAGGTGTGTGTGTGTGTGTGTGTGTGTGTGTGTTGGGGGAGTAGAAGCCACACCTCCCGGTATCGGACGTGTAAAAGGAGCTATAAGAGCTCCGTCAGTACTGTTGACACTCACATTCTGAATCCTGGAACGCTCCTCAGCTGTTAACATCACCAAACAGGCTCTTTATGGACAGAGAGGAACGCGTCTGGTCACTGTTTTAAATTACTTTTCTTACAGCTAACCTGGTCAGCATGGCTGTGGTTGGAGCAGTGATGCCTGCCATAACAGCGTTTCCAGGTGTTCAGGCGATGGAAGGAAAACAGTTCGATAATGTAAGTGAACGATTCAAGGTTCTGAATTTGTGTTATTTTATTATTTTTTGCGGATTTAGTTTTGATTGTTGGTTCATCTTAGAACTTCTTCTAACTTTGTTCCCGTTTGCTGTCCTGTGTAGCTGTGCAAGGTGGATGAGTGTGCACGGAGGGGTGCAGACAACCCGCTCATCGAAGTTGAGTTCAGCATCGTGCAGTCTCCCGCTTTTCCTCCCAAGGACGACGACGAGCTGGGGAAATTCTTGGACCTCGAGTTCATTTTGTCTAACACCATCGGCTCCGATGTTGGAAGCAACAGCGACAACGGGAACATTTCTCCCCCGCAGCAGCAGCAGCAGCAGCAGTGCGCTTATTCCCTGCCGGAGTCACCGGAGAGCTGCAGCGGCAGTTCTGCGCCAGACTGCAGCGACCACCCTCCTCATCACCTGGCCCCACAGAGCTACCACGGCACCGTGAGCTTCACAGACTCAGGCCCAGTACGCAGTCTCATGGCGGAGCTCCTCACGCCAGAGATGAGCTACCCGGGGGAGAGTTCACCGGACGGCACAGGCAAGGCGAGAGAAGGGCGGGAGTACACCGAACTGCAAGCTTTGAATCCGGTCACCATTCCAGGTACTCCCGCTCATCACCAAGTGGCACCATCTCCTCCCCCGCTTGGATACAAAATCAAAACCGAGTCTGTAGGTCAGTCTTGTATGATGGCTGCTGCTGGTGGGGACTTTATGGGACAGATGTATGAGAGGCACCAGATGCGCTCCGTGCACCCAACTGATTTTACGCACCACCAGGCTACAGTTCCCGGTGCGCTGCCGGGATTCGGTGCGCACCCCATGCAGCATCCTTCACCTCAGGGACACACAGGGACACACTGCCATTTGGCGCAAATGAACTCTCTGAGCTCTCATCACCCCAATCAGCACCATCTCCAAAATCAGTACATGAACGCGCCCTACCAGCAGCAGTACGCGCACCAGGGGATGTCACAGTTCCAAGGACAGTACAGCATGCACAGAGAGCCCGTCCGCGTTCACCAGCAGCATCACCCGGCTTCAATGCAGGGGCTGATGCTCACCCCTCCCTCGTCGCCGTCGCTGCTGGAATTTTACGGTCACGAGGAGGTGGGGAACGTCAAGCAGAAGCGAGGCCGCAGGTCGTGGGCCAGAAAACGCGCCGCGACGCACAGCTGCGAGTTCCCTGGCTGCGGGAAAACATACACTAAGAGCTCCCACCTCAAAGCCCATATGAGAACACACACAGGTGAGCACGGAGGCCCAAATTCTGTTATTTCAGTTTGTTTACCAGCCTGATTGATGCTGATTTCATACTTTGGTGTTAATGCAATGTAAAGCATGTAATCTAACAGTCATTTTCTTTGGTCTGCCAGGTGAGAAGCCCTACCACTGTAACTGGGAAGGCTGCGGATGGAAGTTCGCCAGGTCAGATGAGCTGACCCGTCACTTCAGGAAGCACACTGGACACCGACCCTTTCAGTGCCAACTGTGTGAGCGCGCGTTTTCCCGTTCGGACCACCTGGCTCTCCACATGAAGAGGCACATGTAGGCCACATTAAACTTATGGACACTTATGTATCCAAATTCATCATGGGATCATGCCTGGGGCATCCCAGAAGAAGTAAGAGTTGGTCCATTGCTATGTGTACCTGGCCTCGTTCCTGTAGAGACTGAAGTGTGTGTTCCCTTGATAGAGAGCAACTTCATGGTATTTGACCTGCTGAGGTGCCACAAATGTATTCCCATAGGAACCTTTATCAAAAGTCAAGTGCCTCTCCTTTGGAGAAAAGAATGAATGTTGATGGTTTCTGTACATATCTGTGGATATATGAATAACTTTGGCTAAATTATAGTAGTTTGTATTTAAGACATTTCTTCACTGTGTCTTTGAAGTTATAAGTTATTGCTTGTTGGTGGGTGCCTTAACAAGAAGTGCATTTGCTTCCCAAAAGGGGAAAACTCACTGTGGGCAGGACCCAGGATTTTGTACATAATGTAAATTTGTATTTTTGTAATGTTTACATCTTATATCTTTGATACTACTCAGATCAGGTCAGGGTTTTTATTGACAATTTTTCTATTTTCTAAGGTTGTTGTTGTTGTTGTTAGATACTATAGATTTGTCAAGTAACCAGAACTTTGTTTGTTCTGTGAAGGTTTGCTTGAGCAATGTTAACAAATTCAGGTACTAAAATCTTCAGTCCCATTTTCAGGATCCCAAACATTAAGCATCTATCCACCCTCAATTCACTCAATTAAATGTTATTTGTTATATGGATACAAAGCACATGTATTTTGTATGGAAGGTGTGTTTTTCTTAAGAATGAAGAAATCCCCGGCAACCAAGGGTTGGAGTACTGTACTTGAAACAGAATTGCCACTCAGATGTATCTTTTTTTTTAACAAGAATCCAATTGTTTTTATTTGCTTAAGGGCGCAGAAAATAAAAGTACTTTTACAAATACAGAATGTCTGTTGTTGACTTTTCTCCCACACAGTTCAAGTCTAGATCTGCTTTGAGTTTATGTAGGTCTGCTGACAGTGCAGATTTTTATTATTTTTATTCATTCTCGGTGCTGTATGGTCAAAGACAAAGTACACTATACTTGGACACAAGGACTTAGAAACCCAAGTTTGGTTACAATGTAACTGTCAACATTTGACATTTATAGCACAGACAGTGACACTGACATCAGTGGTTATCCATCTAAGAACAGTTCTGTGCCCCCTTTCCAAATGGAAATCCAAATTCTTCTGTAAATCCCCAAATTCAAGCATTTTATAGGACAGAGTGTGGGTGTCATTGCATGATCTTTATTCATTCAAGGGTATAAGCGTCATTACAAGTGTTATTATGACAATATGCACACTTAGGTGCCTCTCAAACTTTGGATCACTGCTAATGAAAGACTGCCCTCTAATGCTCATTCATAGAATAACATTTGCCTTATCCAGAGGTTCTCAAACCGTGGGGTAGGTCCCCCTGGTGGGGCATAGAGACACTGCAAGGGGGAGCGTGGATGACCAGAGGGAAACTCCTCAGCTTATACACTACTCCTCTTTGTTGCTCCTCAACACTTACATATACACTCACACACACACACACACACACACACACACAGAAACACTGGAATCCAATTGGCTGCCCTGTACCTGTATCATAAATCTTAACCTTTAGCATGGCCAATCATATCTAGGATACACCTCTGCTATTACATGAACAAATCACCTGCAGCAGCACACACGTCAACACTCCAGTCTGGTGACAGAGAGAGAAGGTAATCAGATTACAACAATGACACAATACAGAAACACATGACACTGAATGGCAACAGAATTGAATTATTATTATTATTTTTATTTTTTGCTTCTCAATTTTTGTGTGTAAATGTATGTAAAACTATTCTTACAATAAAGTATAAAAACAATGAACCATAATACTAAGTAATAGTCAAACGTTGATAATAATTATGGTGGACAGAATAGTAGTCTAATGCTTGCCGTGTTAGATGCTAAAACAGGATTTCTACATCCAGAGATTTATTGCTGCTATCATTTAAGTCACTGGATCCCAATCTGGGGGTCAGAACCGCTACTAGGGCTCGCCAATGCGGCAGCAGGGGGTCGCAAGTCTTGATTTTAAGGCGTGTAAGACAATTAAAAAAATATACAGAGGAGGCCTATATCTCAGCATTTGGTTCACTTCTGTGAAGAAAAGTAAAAGTAATTTGTCTAATAGAACAATGGCCCAGCGCCAAGGACAAGAAAATACTGAATATGTCAAAGAAGAAGCCTATTAAGTATGCATGATTGTTTAAAAATAGAAAAAGAAAAAACATAACACAGGCAGAGAGAGAAGGCAGAAGTTCCCTTCAGGACAGGAAATAATCTGCTCATTCATCCAAATCACTCGTTTTACACAAACATCTTCAGTTACTGAGTTCACCATTTGGCTTCATTGCACAGTTTTGAATATAATAAGGAATATGCATAAAATATGTCACGTATTCAGGGGTTGTCAGTTGGAAACCACTGATTTAAGTTATGCCTATTTTGTTACTCCTTCTACAAAAACTGCATTCCATCAATGCCTTCACGTCTGCTGTGCGTGCAGAACATTGTACTGATTTCTTTGTCATGTCTCAGTTTCCCCACTAGATGTCCTCTTTGGTTTAGTTTCTGCATGTAGTCAGTATCTGTTAATGAGGCTTATTATGTACACCTGTTTTAATTAGTAATGCTTGTCTCCTGTGTCCAGGCTATTGAAGTACCCTTGTTGAGTTTGTTGCCTGAATTATTCCACAGCATTTCTCAGTCTTCTCTTTCTTGTAGAATAAAACTGAGCCACAGTATTTTCTCTGGAAGTAAAATTACTGAAGGCTTTTTTCTGTGTCTAGTGTCTATCCAAGGTGAGGTCACTGGGGAGGACAGCACATTTATGTGACAGTCCTTTGCAAATGAATTACAAACTGAGTTTTCTTACAAAAAACTTGTGTTCTGCAGCTTTTCTCCATGTTTAATTAATTTTATGATTACCTGCTGCAAATTAAACATTTAAGTTTTACATTCCTATCAGATGAATCTTGAGTCATTAACGCCTTGACTGAGTAAGTAAAGTATGTGTCTTTTTATACCTGCAAACCACAGTGTAAAATCTAACTCAAGATACAAGTGAAAGGGCTGCCTTAAAATTCTACGTTAAAAGAAAAAATGCAATTTGTTCTTCTTCATAATAAAATGTTATCTTGGTTAAATGTCCCTTGTTATGTAAACCTTTATCTTAGTGTTGTTGTTTTGGATTAGTTCATCTAATGAACTGTTTAGGGTAGTCGTTTGAACAGGCAGATTATTTCATCTTAATTAAAATAGTAAGTTGTTTTAGTTTGGTTGATTTAGCTTTATCAATTGATTTAACTGCTTATGGTAGTTGTTTCAACTTCAAAAATATATTTCAGCTTAATTAAAAAGGTTTATTCATTTGAATTAAATTCATTCATCTATTGAACATATCAGTTCTTTGAGCTTAAACATCCACTTTAACATAACTAATGTGGACTGTTGAGTCTGTCTTAGTCCATTTGACTTAAATTTAGGCAGAGAGGTATTTGTTAACTAACTTGATATCATCATGATGCATAACAAATGTTATAGTCTAGAAAAGCATTGCATCAAAATGTGTTTAACTTCTAGCTTTTGCAGCTGCATTCAATTTGTAATTACGAATGATTTTACTCACCTGAAAACCGTTACAAAACGAACAGCTACAATAGCGTCCAAAGGGCCGTCAGGGGAGGACAGGCCAGCACGTCACCGACCACAAATTGTCCATGATGCACTTCGTCAACAGTCACAAAAACATGATGATGCAAGTGATTTTAATCCACATACCTACTTGACTGCCTTTTAAAGTCAATTTCACATATCTCTAATTCAGTTGGATGTGGATTTTCAAGTTAACATTTAATTTGTAGGTGAGATGTTATTAACTAGTAAGATTGTGTTATCACAACAACCTTGGTAATCCTGTGTCAAAATGACACAATTATATGTTAAAATAACAAACTGGCAAAATTTAATTTTACAGCGTATAACATGTAATCTCTTGTAAGGTGGTGGTGAACTGAAAGGTTATCACCAACAGTGGTTCATTCTTGTTTTTGTTTGCTCGATAAAGTCTGCATATCCTTAATCGTACAGTATTGTTCTAGGCCTATTTCACAGCAGACTGATAGTGGAGGAAAAAGCACGTATTACTATTAACATTAAACGATGGATCTGTTCTATTCAAGTGTCCCAGTAAGTCATGAGTGTGATAGCGTGCCGGCAGCTGAAGCATGAAATGGATCAGCCATAATTTACTTTATTATTTACACCTGAACATTTTCTTTTCTTATATATGGGTTGTATTTAACTACTCTACTGACTTCAGACAATGTGCTTTATTGATGTTTGTATGTGATTTTGTAAACAATATATTAATCAAAAAACTTGTTTTGGAATAGGTTTTATCAGGAGCTTGGGTGGTAGGAAGTGCAGTGTGTATAGCAGCGGTCAGTGACTGTGCTGCTGTTGTCCACATAGAGGCAGTATAATGTCACACTGACTACTCCTGAGAGCTGGGTTTCATTTAGGGTTGGAGGGAAATAGATCAGCACTACACTGTTTTGTTGAGTGGGAGAGTAAACAAAGGAAATTGCAAAAGCAGAACTAAAAAACAGTGTCCAGTGTGTTGGATTTGGTGACATCTAGCAGTGCAGTTGGCAGCTCTCTTGCATCCCCCTCCCCTTCCAAGCTCGATGGAAAAACTATAGTTGCCACAAAACACGGCAGACTGTAGTTAAAAAGCTCATTTTAAGGTAACAATCCTATATTTAGGTGATTGTACATTAATGCAAATATAGGTATGAATATTATATTAAATTTCTGCCAATAAATCCTCCCCCTTTTTTTGTGGCTGTTATTGCTTTTATAGCGACGAACATGATAGTGACAGCTGAAGAGTGACAGGAAAGGGGGGAGAGAGAGGGCATGACACACAGCAAAGGGACACAGGTCGGACTTGAACCTTGGGTCGCTGCACCAAGGACGCAGCCTTGATACATGGGGGTCCAGCTCCAGATCTATCCGGACGCCCCAAACATTGAACCTTTGAGAGTACAAATACAGAACCTTACATAGAAGACTGACTTTTGCAATACACAACATAGTGAAAAAAAAAGTACAGTGATAGACTTGGGACCACCAGGTGTGGTTTACTTTGAGTTCTCACTGGGTAGAGGGAGTATTAAGACACTGAGACCTTACTGCAGTGGCTCAGGTGCTGCACGTCATCCCCCTCTTTCTCTCTCTCCCTATTCCTGTTACTCTCTTCTGTCACTATCCAAACAAAATAAAATGCCTGTTTCATTGACTTTAAATTCAGCAGTAGTAAAAATGCAAACCTGACCTTTCGTAGCAGGAAAAGCACAGGTGGAACTAATAATAGTAATGAGTCAGCATCGTAAATTAATAGAATGTCAATGAAAAAGGGCAATTAGACACTGCACGCTTCTTATTTGACCGTTAAATACACAAATTATATATCAAAATACTTTGGCGCTGATGTTTTTTATTCTCACACTATCAAAAAGTCTGTAGTGGATTAAGAAAACACTATTTTTGTCATAAATACTACTTTTATATTCATATTCTAAACTTTTTCTGTCCTCAGCCATTCGGTGTAAACCATGAAATAATTTTAGCATTTTGTCATTTTAACTAAGCTGTTTTATTAGTATCCAAGCTCTGATGAGGTTCTGATAGAATACTTAAGGGTAAGACTTATGGGAGCTGTAGTTTGTTGATGAAACTAAAAGTGAATTCTAAAGTGCTCTTTGGTTCTCCATTATTCCACCTAGGGTTGTTTGACTGATACCAAGATGAATCTTGGCAACTAGGCAACTGGAAAGAAAGTTTCTAAATTAGGT